ATTTCCTGAATTTAAATGTTGGCTTGTCTTGCTAGTTTGGGGAAGTTTGGATAATAGCCTGAAGAGTGTTTTCCAACTTGTTTCCATTCTCCCTGTTACTTTTAAGTACACCAATAAAATGTAGGTTTGGTGCTTTCACATAATCCCATATTTCTTGGAGGCTTTGTTCCTTCCTTTTCATTCTTTTTTCTCTAATCTTGTCTTCATGCTTTATTTCATTAAGTTGATCTTCAATCTCTGATATCCTTTCTTCCACTTGGTTGATTCAGCTATTAATACTTGTGTGTGCTTCACAAAGCTCTCATGGTGTCTTTTTCAGCTCCATCAGGTCACTTGTGTTCTTCTCTACACTGCTTATTCTAGTTAGCAATTCCTCTAAACTTTTTTCAAGGTTCTTAGCTTCCTTGCATTGGATTAGAACATGTTCCTTTAGCTCAGAGGAGTTTGTTATTATTCACCTTCTGAAACCTACTTCTGTCAATTCATCAAACTCATTCTCCCTCCCATTTTCTTCCCTTGCTGTTAAAGACTTGTGATCCTTTGGCAGAGAAGAGGCATTCTGGTTTTTGTAATTTTCAGCATTTTTGTGCTGCTTTCTCCCCATCTTCATGCATTTATCTACCTTTGATCTTTGACGTTGGTGACCTTTGGATAGGGTTTTTGTGTGGAAGTCCTTTTTGTTGATGTTGATGCTATTCCTATCTGTCTGTTAGTTTTCCTCCTGACAGTCAGGCCCCTCTGCTGTAGGTCTGCTGGAGTTTGCTGAAGGTCCACTCCAGACTATGTTTGCCTGGATATCACCAGTGGAGGCTACAGAACAGCAAAGACTGTTGGCTGTTCCTTCCTCTGGAAGCTTTGCCCCAGAGGGGCACCTGCCAGATGCCAGCTGGAGCTCTCCTGTATGAGGTATCTGTCAGCCACTGCTGGGAGGTGTCTCCCAGTCAGGAAGCACAGGAGTCAGGGACCCACTTGAGGAGGCAGTTTGCAATCTGTCCCTTAACAGAGCTCTAGTGCTGTTCTGAGAGATCCACTGCTCTCTTCAGAGACGGCAGGCAGGAACACTTAAGTCTGCTGAAGCTGTGCCCCCAGCCACTCATTCCCCCAGGTGCTCTGTCCCAGGGAGATGGGAGTTTTATCTATAACACCCTGACTGGGGCTGCTATCTTTCTTTCAGAGATGCCCTGCCCAGAAAGGAGAAATCTAGAGAGGCAGTGTGGCTACAGTGGCTTTGTCGAGCTGTGGTGGCCTCCATCCAATTTGAATTTCTTGGCGGCTTTGTTTACAACGTGAGGGGAAAACAGCTTACTCAAGCCTCAGTAATGGTGGACACCCCTCTCCCCACCACGCACTAGCATCACAGATCAACTTCATACTACTGTGCTTGCAGCAAGAATTTCAAGCCAGTGGATCTTAGCTTGCTGGACTCTACAGGTGTAGGAGATCCATCAGAGTGGTGGGAGAAATGACAGGGAAAGGAGCAGGCCTTCTGAAAGGTCAGAAGGCTCTGCAAAGCTCCAGGGGAGAATAGCTGAAGGCAGCTGTTCTATAATCCTGAGGCAGAGGGCAAGGAGTAGGTACAAGTGAGTGTAGGGGAATTTATCTTAAACAGGCTTGTTTACTTATATTGACCAGGAACTGACCTTTTATTATCCATGTGTATGACGTTTTCTGGAAGGGGAACAATAAATGTTAATCACCTACAGGTTGTTTGCTCCAGGTTTTCGGCATTGTGCCTGCATTGAATAAAAGCAAGCAGCTCCAGCTTCTCAGGGCTGCTGCACTTTGGCCACTACAGCCAGGCAGACCCCTAGCTGCTCTTACACTGCATACCTGTGTCTGAGTACCTCTTTTATCCATTGCTCGGCCAGGGTCTGCAGGACAGACCCGGCATGTGGGGGTGGGATCTGCTGAGTTAGACCACTTGGCTCCCTGGCTTCAGCCTCCTTTTCATGGGAGTGAACGGTTCTGTCTTGCTGGTGTTCTAGGCACCACTGGGGTATAAAAAAAACCTCCTGCAGCTAGCTCGGTGTCTGCCCAAATGGCCACCCAGTTTTGTGCTTGAAACCCTGGGCTTTTGTGGTATAGGCCTCCAAGGGAATCTCCTGGTCTGCAGCTTGTGAAGACCATGGGAAAAGTGTAGTATCTGGGCCAGAACGTACCATTCCTTGTGGCACAGTCCCTCACAACTTCTCTTGGCTACAGGAGAGAGTTCCCCAACCTCTTGCACTTCCTGGGTGAGGAGATGCCCCACCCTGCTTCACCTCACCCTCCGTGGGCTGCACCCACTGTCTAACCAGTCCCAATGAGATGAGCTGGGTACCTCAGTTGGAAATGCAGAAATCACCTGCCTTTTGCATTGATCCCACTGGGAGGTGCAGATTAGAGCTGTTCCTATTTAGCCATCTTGCCAACCACCTCTAGTGCATTTTTTATTTCTCTAATTGTGTCCTTCATTTCCAGAAGTTGTGATTGTTTTTTATGCTATCTATTTCACTGAGGAATTTTCCTTTCACATCCTGTATCATGTTTGTTGTTTAAGTTGGAATTCACCTTTCTCTAGTGCCTTTTTGATTAGCTTAATAATCAACCTTCTGAATTATTTTCCAGAGATTTTGTCTTGGTCTGGATCTATTGTTGGTGAGCTGGTATGGTATTTGGGGGGTGTTGAAGGACCTTGTTTTGTCATATTATCAGAATTGTTTTTCTGGTTCCTTCTCATTTGGGTGACTGTGTCAGAGGGAAGATCTGGGACTCAAGGGCTACTATTCCGATTCTTTTTTCCCACAGGGTGATCTCTTGATGTGGTGTTCTCCCACTTCCTCTAGGGATGGGGCTTCCTGAGAGCCAAACTGCAGTGATGATTTTTTCTCTTCTGGGCCTAGTCATCCAGCAGAGCTACTGGACTCCACACTGGTATTGGGAAGTGTCAGCAAAGAGTCCTGTGATATAATACATCTTCAGGTCTTTTGGCTGTGGATACCAACACCTGCTCCAGTGGAGGTAGCAGGGGAGTGAAGTGGACTCTGTAAGGGTCCTTGGTTGTATTTTTGTTAAGTGCACTGGTTATGTGTTGGTTGGCCTCCAGCCAGAAGGTGGCATTTTCAAGAGTGCATTAGCTGTGGTACTATAGGAAGGAAGCAAACTTGACCTAGGGTCATCTAGTTATATATTCATGTTTCTGAGGCAGTGGGCAGAGCCATAGAGCTCCCAAGAAATTATGTTCTTTGTCTTTGGCAACCACAGCAGGTAAAGAAAGACCACCAGGTTGGGGCAGAGACAGGTGTGTTTGAGCTCAGACTCTTATTGGGTGTGCGTGCTGCAGTTGCTGTGAGGGCGGAGGTGTGGTTCCCAGGCCAATGGAGTTATGTTCTCAGGGGGATTATGGTTGTCTCCACTGAGTGACACAGGACACCAGGGAAGTGGGGAAAAGCCAGCAGTCACAGGCCTCACCTCGTTTCCATACAACCCACAGTTCTAAAGGCCAGTCTCACTCCCACTGTGCCCCTACCAACAACACCGAGTCTATTTCCAGGCAGCCGGTGACCAGGGCTGAGAACTTGCCCCTGACTATCAGCCTCCCCACTGAGAAAGCAAGCAGACTTACGGCTTTTTTTTTTTTTTTTTTTTTTTTTTTTTTTTTTGCATCTCAGGGAATCCGCGGTGGCGATACAATTTCTTCAAAGGGTCTGTGGATTCTCTTGGCTTTCCTGGTATGTTGCTGCAGTAATTCTTGAAGCAAAAGCTCACAATGTGAGTCTCCACATACTGTCCTGTCTGTCCCAGTGGGAGCTGCAAGCTAGTCCTGCCTCCTCATTCTCACAGAAACATGAGAATAATGTTTGACCAAATATCTAGGCACTCTGTGGCCCAGTCAAGTTGACACATTAAATTAACCATCACACTGGTCCCCATGCAAAGTGGAACCCAGGTTTCAGAGCTCAAGCCCAGGGTCCCCTTACGAGGAGGGCTCCTGAGGGTTATGAGTGTAATGATTATATTTAGGCTGTCCTTCACAGCCACTTTCTTTCTTCCTAAACCTCAGGATTTAAGCACACTTGCCTGAAACCTGGGTTCAAATCTCTGCCATGTATTAGTTGTGCAAACTTTAGATATTATTTAGATATTATTTAATATCTCTATGCCTCAGTTTTTTCACCTTTAAAATTGAGATAAAAATAATCTCTACCTCAGGAGATTGTTGTGAAGAGTAATTAAGTTAATATGAAACACTTAGAACAATGCCTGGTACATGGTAAGTGCCCAATAAATATTTTAAAATAAATGTTTTTAAATGTTTTCATCTAAAACCAGTATGGATCAATTATGGGATGTGGAAACCAAAAGCTAATTGAGCACACACAATAAATATTAGTACTTACTGTTAGTTTTTAAAATATCAGCTATTTTTGTTGCTCTCACCCAGGCAGTTTTCTACCTGGCCCTGACACTGACCTTAGAAAAGATAAATCTCTACAATGTGACCATCAGGTCTGCTGCAGCCCTGGTCTGCTCTGCAGAACTAAGCCAGAGGCATTTAGCATTTATTGGGGTGCTCAAAGAAGTCCCATCCCTGAAAGACATTCTTTATACTTTAGGAAAGCAGAAATGGACAGTAACTCTACCCTTAAAGGCCAGTGAAATACTGACCTAGAGTATCTCCAACCCGGCACTCCACAAGGCTGGGACTGCAATGTAAACTCATGTTCCCAAGGGATCAATTAAGCCAGAATATCCCACAGTTTGTCTATAACAAGTCAATGAGGCTTTTTGCAGCCCTCAAAACTCTCAAGTGAGAAAAAATTGTTAAGCCTTCAGATTTTAACCAAGCAGACCAGAAGGTGGTATAGAGCCATAGCTTATAAAAAAGCATTTCAGATAGAAAAGGCCATGTTATAATTTCAGATCTGAGAAATGAAACTGAAACCAAACCTACGTTCTTCCTTCCCCCAACTTCCCAATTGTTAAGCATGCCCTGTTGTTTCTGAGCCAATTAGAGCCTGCTATGAGATAGAAGCAGATAACACATAGACTTCCGTTAAAACCAGAATGAGGAAAATACTTTTCTCTAGCATCGCAGGAGGAAGAAAACAAACACATCAGATATTTTCAGCACCAAAAGAGATGGTTTTCCCCACATACATGTAAAAGAAATTTGCAAGACTATCTGGGTAAGTACAATATCTATTATTAATATTGTTCTTACTATCTATAGCAGCATTTTGTTGAATAGAAAGAAATATACTTTTTAATTAGAAGATTTAAATATACCTCAAAACAAAAAATAGTATTCTAAGCCTACAAATTCGAGACTATTTGTTGCTCTGACAGGAGCCTGCTTTGTATTCGTTGAAAAATTAGTCATACGTTTCATTAAAGATGCAGTTGAAAACTACAGACACTTTTATTGATGAAGTCTCCCAAGGCATAACAGCATCTTCAGAAAGAACAAACAGGCCAGGTGCAGTAGCCTATAATTTGAGCACTTTGGAAGGCAAGGACATGAGAATTGTTTAAGGCCAGGAATTCAAAATTAGCTTGGGCAACATAGCAAGACCCTACCTAGCAAGATTCCTACCAAAAAAAAAAAAAAAATAGCTGGATGTGGTGGCACGCAGCTGTAGTCCTAGCTGCTTTGGAGGCTGAGGCAGAAGGATTGCTTGAGCCTGAGAATTTAAGGTTACAGTGAGCTATAATTGCACCACTGCACTCCAGCATAGGCAACAGAATGAGACCGTGTCTCAAAGAAAAAAAAAAAGAAAAAGAAAAAGAAAAAGGAAAAATAGATAAAGAACAGGTAATGAAAACTTAAAAGTACTTTACTTTAATCAAATATACCTTCCACCATCTACTCTAAGAAATAAGTAGCTTCCAGAAAACAAAGCTCTCTGAGAGTTTCTCAAATACTGTTGTTGGATGACATGTATAGGAAGACAGACAGACAGACAGACTACTATGGGAAGTCTTTGGAATTATGGCAGCTTTATGTGCCTGGCAAAAATACTAGGCTTATGTCTAATTTCTCCCTGAAGGAAACACTAAGATAATGCAAGAGGGTTGGGGGATCACATTTCTGAATGAAGGCCTGACCTTCAGCTGCCTTTAGAAAAGTTAACAAACCCTACAGTTTAACACCAACTAGAGTTAAAAAAAATGTATGTGGGTTCAATCGGTAACAAATAGTGTTTCCTGCTAAGATTCTCAGAACCAAATTTTCAGGTCAGTTTTTAAAGTATACAGTATCAAACCAGTAATTTTAGGCACTAATTTTACTCCATGATTTCACTTTTTCCCCCTACCATTATTTAGCCTTCCCCATGATTTCTTTACTGAACGGTTTTAATATATGTGTGATCCTGTATTACTTTCTAAATATTTCACCTAAAAAACATTTTGGAACAAGAGAGGATATAAAGAAATCATAAATATGTAAAATATCTATGAACAGTGGCATAAATACCTATGAATGGTGGCATATTATTTTCTCGAAGAGTGACATCATCAACAATTTGTAAAAAATAGTTTATTGAAAGGTACAGCTATCAATAATCTGACAAAAGCTTTAGGGGAAGAAGCGTGAAAGTGTAACCTGTTCAATGACATTTGAAATATTCATAATCTCTCTAGTAGAGAAAACAGTCAAAAGTCACTTCTTTATTATTTGCTTACTTTCCCAACCAAATGTTCAGGCCCAGTTCTCCATCTCCCACATTCTTATATGAGAACCTGACTTTATGTTTTTACATATAATGGTATGCAGTTCTTGCATAAATCAAATAATCCATCTAATTCACCACTCGTTCTCATAATCTAGTTTATGACATATCACCCAGAGAGTAAGGACTGTGACTGTGTCTGTAAAACTGTGAAAGGTTCCAGTTGATGAAGGAAGTCAGGGAAACCCCAGGAAAAGGGTACCAGTGGGATGGGGCAAGATGGGGGATGAGAGTCATGGGTATGAGGCCTCAGGAGCCAGGGCACACTAGCAGCAGAATAATCAGGGACCCCTGCTTTATGTTAAATAGTGTGGGTGTAACAAAAGGGAGCATACTTTCATAGGGTGGAGTAGATGTGACTCAGCAAATGGATACAAGAAAGTGACTTAGATAGAACAGTCACTAGACGAGGGTGTAGTCAGTTTTAGATAACTCTAAAACCAGTATGAATCAACACTGAGTCGGATGCAGAAGTCAAAAGTTCATAATCTGAGGCTGCAATAATAAACACCTAGCAAAACTTGAGGACCTCACATACCATTGAATTCACAATTATCCTTGGTTCATAACACACCATCATCTTTTTTATGCATGTGTCTCTTTTATTTTATTCATCTGTTTATTTATTTTCTAATGTATTTTGGAGGCATTATTGGCTTTTTAAATATGGCATAACTTATATACAATGAACAAACTTAAGGGTAAGCCTCTATGAAATTTTTATATGTACTTACCTGTGCAACCACTACCCATATCAAGATATAAAATATTTCCATCACCCCAGAAGTTTTCCTTGTGTTCCTTCCCAGAAAATATCTACCCCCAACATCATTCTGACTTCTACGATATATTACTTTTGCCTATTCTTAAACTATATAAGTAGAATTCTACAATATGTTTTCTGTTGTAACTGGCTTATTTCACACAGTATGATGTGAGATTCTTTCATGTTGTTGCCTGTATCAGTACTTTAATCGTTTTCATGAGAATTGCAGATCCAAAGGGTAGGTATATATTTAACTTCACAAAAACTGATAGCTTCTTAAAGTGGCTGAAACAATGTACATTCCAACAGGCAATGTATGAGAGCTCCATTGACTCCACATCTTCACCAACATTTGGCGTTACCAGTCTTTAATTTTAGCCACTCTGGTAGGCATGTAATATTATCTTGTTGTCATTTTACTTTGCATATCCATTATAGTAAAGATTTTGGAACACATCTAATTGCACTTCATTACACCCGCCTCTGTGACTACCAAAATCCCCGCTGGTTTCTCCTCCTCCCAGTAGGCCAAGTCTAATCCTTAAACCCAACCCCAAATCAACAAATGCCCCCAAAGCTTACCTAGACAGGAATCTTTTCCTCTCTGGAATTTTAGTTCATCCTGTCCTTGTCATCTGGTCTATTGATGACTTTGTGATTACTTAAAAATATGAGTTTTGCAGTTTTTTGGATTTTGTTCTCATTGTTGCAGTGGGTGAGTAGGTGGCCTTTTGTGATCTCCTACATCCTGAAACTGAGACTCCTTCAGTTTCTTCTAGAGTCAGTTTGGTAAGCTGTATTTTTTAAGAATTTGCTAATTAATCTCAGTTTTCAATTTATTCAGTTAAAGTTGGTTGGAATAACATCCAAACCCTTTCATTTTTAAAGTATCTAATATTGTTTACTTGTATCTAATATTGCTTATTTTATTAATTGAATAATTATTTGAATTATTAATTGAACTAATTGATTAAATTGTTAATTTAATTAATATTGCTTATTTTATTTTTTAGTTAATCATTCCATGGATGTGTCAATTTTATTACTTTTTATCTCTTGGACTTCATTAAGTCTCTCTTGTCATTTTGTTTTCCATTTTATAAATTTCTACTTTTATCTTTATTTTTTTCTTTCTTCTTATTTCAGGTTTATTCTGTTGTTCTTCTTTGAATTTATTAAATTGGCATTTAGTTCATACTTTTCAGTCATTCTTCCTTTTTTTAAATTATACTTTAAGTTCTAGGGTACATATGCACAACATGCATGTTTGTTACATATGTACACATGTGCCATGTTGGTGTGCTGCACCCATTAACTCATCATTTACATCAGGTATATCTCCTAATGCTATCCCTCCCCCCTTCCCCCACCCCACAACAGGCCCGGTGTGTGATGTTCATCACCCTGTGTCCTACTATTCTCATTGTTCACTTCCCACCTGTGAGTGTGAACACGTGGTGTTTGGTTTTCTGTCTTTGCTATAGTTTGCTCAGAATGATAGTTTCCAGCTTCATCCATGTCCCTACAAAGGACATGAACTCATCCTTTTTTATGGCTGCATAGTAGTCCATGGTGTATATGTGCCACATTTACTTAATCCAGTCTATCATTGATGGACATTTGGGTTGGTTCCAAGTCTTTGCTATTGTGAATACTGCCACAATAAACATACATGTGCATTTGTCTTTATAGCAACATGATTTATAATCCTTTAGATATATACCCAGTAAATGGTATATGACTGAGACAAATGGTATTTTTAGGTCTAGATCTTTGAGGAATCGCCACACTGTCTTCCACAATGGTTGAACTAGTTTACAGTCCCACCAATAGTGTAAAAGTATTCCTATTTCTCCACATCCTCTCCAGCATCTGTTGTTTCCTGACTTTTTAATGATCGCCGTTCTAACTGGTGTGAGATAGTATCTCATTGTGGTTTAGATTTGCATTTCTCTAATGGCCAGTGATGATGAGCATTTTTTCATGTGTCTGTTGGCTGCATGAATGTCCTCTTTTGAAAAGTGTCTGTTCTTGTCCTTTGCCCACTTTTTGATGGGGTCGTTTGATATTTTCTTGTAAATTTGTTTAAGTTCTTTGTAGATTCCAGATATTAGCCCTTTGTGAGATTGGTAGATTGTAAAAATTTTCTCCCATTCTGTAAGTTGCCTGTTCACTCTGATGGTAGTTTCTTTTGCTGTGCAGAAGCTCTTTAGTTTGTCAGTTTTGGCTTTTGTTGACATTGCTTTTTGTGTTTTAGTTATGAAGTCTTTGCCCATGCCTATGTCCTGAATGGTATTGCCTAGGTTTTCTTCTAGGTTTTTTATGGTTTTAGGCCTAACATTTAAGTCTTTAATCCATCTTGAATTAATTTTTGTATAAGGTGTAAGGAAAGGATCCAGTTTTAGCTTTCTACATATGGCTAGCCAGTTTTCCCAGCACCATTTATTAAATAGGGAATCCTTTCCCCATTTATTGTTTTTGTCAGGTTTGTCAAAGATCAGATGGCTGTAGATATGTGGTATTATTTCTGAGGGCTCTGTTCTGTTCCATTGGTGTATATCTCTGTTTTGGTACCAGTACCATGCTGTTCTGGTTACTGTAGCCTTGTAGTATAGTTTGAAGTCAGGTAGTGTGATGCCTCCAGGTTTGTTCTTTTGGCTTAGGATTGTCTTGGCATTATGGGCTCTTA